CGTTAAATGATGTGAGATTAGTTGAAATAAACTGCACTGAAGTTCCACGCCTGTAGGGTCGAAAATCATACCGGCTGCGCCATATTATTGTAATGAAACTGTGGTTTGAAGGTGGCAGAGTGGAAAGCATGATGACGCAATTTAGCACAACATATCTTGAAAAACTCACAATCTTTATTTTTTCCATGCATATCAAATCATCCTTTTTCAGACAAGATATTTCTTAATAATATTTGAATACAGTAAGTTGCATTTTGAAGTAGAACGTCATCTTAAGTAAGTAAGCAGCAGCAGCATGGATGAAATGCGTCTTACCAGCAGGAGAGCTAACGCGGAAAAGGGAAGGGTTATAGTACTTTCATAGGAAGAAGGCTGGGAGAGGGGAAGTTTCAGTTCACAGTTTTGGTTTAGAATTAATTTGATTGGACAAGAGGTATCTGCATTTAAACGTTACATAAGATAGAAAAGTCTGGAACCTGTGAGAAGAGATGAATTTAGGGGTAGATCATCAAATTTAGAATGTTAAAAAAGTTATAAGGTGTTTCTCCCGCCTTCCTAACGTGCCATCGGGGAGTAGTGGTCAGCACACTCAGCCGGTATTTCAGAGGTCCGTGGTTCGATTCTCGGCGAATGCGGTTGCTAATTTTTCATCTTCTCTGCTTCCAAAAAATTACCTAATGTCTCTACAGTGGCGCCCGAACTAAAAGGGTGTTGGATGATTCTTCACACCCAGGATTTGGCGATTGGGTCCCCTAAAAACACCAGTCGACCTTTAAAAAGGGGAGTACATAAGATATTTCTTCCGCCTTCCTAGCATGTCTTCGTGGTTTAGTGGTCAGAACACTAAGCCGGTATTTTCAGAGGGCTGTGGTTCGATTCCCGGCGAAGGCGGTAGCTAATTTCCGATCTCTTCTGCTTCCAAAAAATTACCTAATGTCTCTACAAAGTATTAAATAATTTATACTATATATAGTGTAAGTTATTTGCTACTTTTAATTCTTAATCAAATGTCATTTTTAAGGATTTTAATCTATAACTTCCTTTGCAAAAAACAAACACTGCGCTAATTACAAAATTTATCATAGTATCTAACGTAAATGCTTCTCCGAGAATGAAGGTAAAGAATGATTTCTTGCGAATGTGATGATTCTGAGAATGATGAATCTTCATCATCATTCTCCGAATGATTTAGGTTTTTAGGTCCTTCAGAAGATTCTTATGAATAATGATTGATGTTACACATAATTTCATAATATTTCATTTACTAAATTATGTTCAAAAGTTATTATTTTCTTTGGGCTATGAATAAATTTTAACAAAATATTTAAATTCTTTGTTTGTAATATTTACAATTTTATTGACTAGCATTATATAATTAATTGTTCATTTTTCCTGCTGTGCGTTACAATGATCATAAATTCAATCGGATTCTTTGAACTCAGTTTAAGAAACTTTTCTGAAACTCAGGTGACAAAAGTCATGGAATACCTTCTAATATCGTGTCGGAACTTCTTTTGCTCGGCAATTAGACGTGGTATGGACTCAATAAGTCGTTGAAAGTCCCCTACAAAAATATTGAGCCATGCTGCCTCTATAGACGTCCATAATTGCAAAAGTGATGCCGGTGCAGGATTTTGCGCACAATCTTAACTCTCGAATATGTCTCATAAATGTTCAATTGGATTCAGGTCGAGTGATTTAGGTGGCTAGATCATTCGCTGGAACTGTACAGAATGTTCTTCAAACTAATCGTAAACATTTGTGACCCGGTGACATATAGCGCATTTTCCTCCATAAAAATTCAATTGTTGTTAGGGTACATGAAGTACATTAATGGTTTCAAGTCGTCTCTAAGTAGCTGAATATAACCATTTAAAGTCAATGATCGGTTCAGATGAACCAGAAAACCCAAGCCATGCCATAAATAAAACGCCCGCACCATTATGGAGCCACCACCAGCTTGCACGGTGCCTTGTTGACACCTTGGGTCCATAGCTTCGTCTGGTCTGCCCACAGTCAAACCCTAGCATCAGCTCTTAGCAATTGAAATCGTGACTCGTCTGACCAAGCCACGATTTTTCAATCGTCTAGGGTCCAACAGATATGGTCCCAAGTCCACGGGAGGCGCTGCAGGCGATGTCGTTCTATTAGTAAAAGCACTCTGTCTTCTGCTGCAATAGACCAGCAGAGACAAATTTGGACGCATTATCCTACCAGAAAAGTCTGTCGAACGTCCCACATTGGATTTTTTGGTTATTTCAAGCAATGTTGCTTGTCTGTTAACGTTGACAATTCTACGTACACGTCGCCAGTCTCTGATATTAAGTGCCAGGCGGTCGGCCACTGCGTTTTCGATTAGGGGTTATGCCTGAAATTAGGTACTCTTGGTATAATTTTGGCATGTGGATCTCGGAATGTTGAATTCCCTAACGATTTCCGAAATGGAATGTCCTATGCGTCTAGCTCCAAATATCATTCCGCTTTCAAAGTCTGTTAATTCCCGTCATGTGGCCATAATCACGCCAAAAAACTTTTCTCATGAATAACTTGAATACAAATGAAAGTCCTGCCAATGTACGCCCCATTTACACATTTTGTACGCGATACTACCGCCGTCCGTATACTTGCATATTGCTATCCTATGACCTTTGTCACCTCAGTGTACTCTTGATGTCACGATGAATTTGTAAGTTCAGTTTAACAAAAACATTTCTCTTCCATTTAAAACAGATTTCGGTACACATTTTATCTGAAAATTAAATGAATGATTCATTATCAGTATTTATTTTCATTACATATTTTACACGAAATGCAAATAAATGCTCTGCCATTGTTAAATATATTCTAAAACACTCAAATATACATCTAGAGGATTAATATTTAAATCGCTAAGCATAAACATATATGTATATAATAATATACATATTTGCAAGCATAATATAACTGTGTAACGAATTCATCAATTATGCACACTTCATGAAAACTGAGTATAAATAAATATTTTTCAAACAATAATACTATTTTTACTTATATGAGCAAGAGAAATATATTAATATTGGATTTAAATACCACACTCATACAATATATGATACATACAGGATACAAGTACCATCCGTTTATATATGTGCATAATCAAATCAATGTATGTCCGTACTCGCATTTTCATTCACTTTGTACTCCTTGTATAATTACTACCAAACGGAAAGACTAGGTTATATTTCTTCTAAGTTTATAAGAAGGAAAACTTTGCAATGATTTGTAAACAAAATAGGTAAGGAATACCGTTTAGTTCACAAAATATTCAGGAACGTAATGAGGGTAATTTAGGATCCGAACCTGTTTAGCCCCATATACTTCTCTCACCACTGATAAAAGTTTATCCGCCCTTTTCCAAACTGGAAAATTACGTATACTTACTTTTAAATTATATTTTAACGTGTTTTATAAACTAAACAGTAAACATAAAAAAATGTAGAAAATGTTCATAAATACCAAAATTTGAATAAAAGAACTTTTCTATATACTTAAACTAAAAACTATTACTTAATAGCTAAATAAAAGGCTAACCGCATCCTTCCGCTGAAACTGAGAAAGTCTCCTCTGGTTGAGAACTCCCTCATTTAGGATGATTAAATTTTATCATATTTCATAAAATTCTATTGAACGAATAAAAGACTTCCCGCTGGAATATTATGCATGTACTGGCACTTTTTGTAATAAGATTTAATACAGAAAATACCTAAACATCTTTTATCAGTTTTTATGTTGTAGAAAAACGTATTTAATATGTTTGTTGAGTTATTCAAAATTCCGTAGTTCAATACCTTATTTGTAAGGCAGATGTATTAGTTAAATACCATGAAACGTACATATAAAAGACTTCATATTTAATTTCAGATAAATATTCTGTTAATTAAACAACAAATAAAATTGCTGTGTTAACAACAAAGTGTTAATAAATTAAAATATGCAAGACATTAATGTAAAACTCAGAATGCAAAGAGTTTTAGAAAATTATAAAATTTAGCTATTCGAAACTTTTTGATGAACACTTTTGCAAAAGCACTCTTTCTATGTAATGCAATCCTACATTGCTTACTTAAGATATTTACATTCTCCCGTTAACGTCTCTGCATCAGAACGATTCTTTATATAGAGTAGTTTCAAAACATCCTACTTTGCAGTGATAATCTATCTCTTCTCTCTTACTAAAGGATTACATTATTAAATACAAAGGAAAATCATTGAATATTTTTCAGGCGTATTTTACCATGTCTTCGAATTTTATTCATGTCACTAAACCGTAATTAAGCATAAAAAATTATAACAGTTAATACTTTATTAAAATGTTAATATTCTTAGGTGAATTTAGCAAAAAAAAATCTTTCTACATTTTTTTATAATAGCGGGTGAAATACCGTACATTTGCCGCCAGTTTTATGAAGGAAAAAACTTAAAAGTTTAAACGCTTTGCTAGATGACTTCCAATCATAAATTTCGGAATATAAAAAATCACTTACTCTGATTTCGTACACTCTCTATCATCTTTTGGCAATGCTGGCAATCCAGCAAGCACAACTGCATCCGATTTAAAGGGGTTGGCTCAGGTTGCGGTCGTGCAACAGCCATGCCGCACGTGCTCCTGTCACGGTGTTCCCCAAAACGTGTTCACTGTCTCACGCAATACATTGAGACGAACAACCTATCTCTGCCTGGCGAGTGCCAACGGCGCAAGAAAAGAGTCCGTGAAAAGAACTGTACACATACACGAAAAAAACTCGGACTGTTTACCTTTCGGAGTCAGCTGTTGACCTCCAAGGTAGAATATTCCTTGTCGAATGACAATTTCGTGGGCAATGATGGCAAAGGAGTACACATCCCCTTTCTGTGTTCCTTCAGGAGGCGGCGTGGACATGCGCAGGAGTTCCGGAGCTGTCCATAACTTCTCTGTGGGGAAAAACGGGAATCCATCGATTAAAGTTGTTAGGTAGCAGTAAACATATCTATACATTTTTTTCCACTCTAATGACGCACCTGAAATGAGATCTTGTTAATATTCCAGGTGAGAAAGTACTTTATTAATTTTTGTCCCTCTGAATGAGTTTAAAAACATATACTTAACTTTATATACATGTGTTCATTTGATGGCAATATTTCATAAAAGAAGGTCCCTCTAAACTAGTAGCAGAACTTTATTTCTCTTCTACCGCTCCTCTTTCTTACATTTCTTTTACTTTAGTCTTGCTTAGCCGGACGCGTGTTTATGTATCATGAACCGGCATACTAAGAGTATTTTACAGAGGATGCAGAGAATATTTCTTTGAAACTTCCGATACATTTTTACAAAGGATTTACTTGAGTGCTATAAGCTAATTTGAACTATATACTAACTTTCTTTAAACTTTACTTCCTATAGATCTCACATTCAGCGTGCATTAAAAAATTCAAATTTTAAAGTCTTATCATTTAGGTGTCCGAAAAGCAAACATTCTATATGATATTTTTGAGCCTTACAAGCGTCCGTACATTATTTGAAAAGACATAACCGCGAAAGTGATTCGATGCACATGGGAGGACAAGCTATTAGCGTTAAAAGCGGCATTTGAAATGTGAGTGATGCATCACAAACGTCATTTAACATATATGTTATAAGCGTTATATATGTTATACGTTATTATCTGAACAGTCAACATTCGACAACGTTATATTTTTGAGAGCTATAAGAGCCAATATGCCGTTAGTAGTATAAGCTTTATAAATAAGCTATAAGTTTTATAAATAAGTTATGCGCTTATAAGATATTTCTCCCACCTTTCTAGCGTGCCTTCGTGGTGTAGTGGTTCTGCACGCTGGGCCGGTATTTCAGAGGTCCGTGGTTCGATTCCAGGCGAAGGCGTTGCTAAGTTTTCATCCTGATTACTTCCAAAAAAATACCTAATGTCTCTATAAGCTTTGCAGGAGTTACATATGACTGATATAATTTGCGTCATTGATGCAACTCAATATTTACAGAAATTTACCACAGTATCTACAATATTCTGCTTGCGATTCTTATAGCACACAAGTGGTCAATGTTCGTACGCATACTTAGGGTGGTCATAAAAAACTTTCCCGATATAACAAGCCCGAAAGGCCTATCCGTTTAAAAAAACAAAATGAAATTTCAGATATTATTATCTGAAGGTATGCGCTCGACATTTCGATGATATAAAACAACAACGCTTTCACGGTTACGGCTACAGTGAAAAATTTCAAAATTTTTGAATGGCAGTACCCACTGCGCAAATTTATCAGCGCATTGAAAAACCATGAATGGCGTTGAAATGATATACGTATGGCGAAAATTGCCGGCGTAAAACATTTGCAAAGAAGATCACCGTAACGGACCACTCACAACAAGAGAGAAAAAGAGGAAAAAATAACTGTTATTGAAATTATAAGTTTTCAACGCGTACGAAGTTTCAAGACACAGTCATTTGCCCTAACTTTGCAGTTTCGTGACTACCGTGATCCGCCGACCTCATTACGATGGATTTCTGGTTCTGGAGTTATCTGAAATCTAAAGTTCACATCTATGAGATTTATCAGAATTGAAAGATGTCATAAAACGTGAAGTTATGTAGACTCCTCCTTCGACGTTACGTTCGTCATTGTTGTCAACAATTTCCTACACGAAATGTATTATCATTAAAAAGTGAGTTACTATTCGAAAGTTTTGAAATTTTCGAAATTTTCTCGCTGTCATCTTAATTGTTAAATCTCTATTCCTTTACTTTAAATCATCACAATCTCAAGGGCATTCCTTGAAATAACAATATCTGAAATTTCATTTCGATTTGTTGAGCGGATAAGCCGCTAGGGATTTATATATAGGGAAAGTTTTTTATGACTCCCCCCCCTGTACATAATATCTGTCTTATTGGTGTCCATTTGTGTGAAGTTCTGGAAGTGAAGGTGCAGCTATATATGTGCCTATCAGAACATATATAGCTGCACCTTCACTTCCAGAGTTAAAAACTTTAAAAACTTTAATTTTCATCTGCTTAAAACATTGACGACTATTTTCACTGCCTCGGTCTATTTATCAATCTATGGGATCATGTACGTTAGTTCTTTTTATAACCCTTCTGATAACAACCTTAGCGACGCTATTCTTACAGATATTCCCCCAGACGAAAATTGGGTTATTCTCGCTGGCGATCTCAGTGCGAAGCACTCAGATTGGGGGTGTCGTCACTCCAACCATAAGGAGACACTTTTCCACAACTATATACCGAACTATCCCGTCGCTATCTATGCCCCTAGAGGATTTTAGATACTCCTCGAATAATCCAAGCAAAGCAGACATACTTGACCTTGTTTTGACTAACACATCTATACTAATAGCAGTGGAAGTTAAACAAGAACTTTCCTCAGACCACGTGCCTACTTTCATCATTCTAGGGACCACTAAAATTTAGGAATCTGCAAACAAAAATATCATAGACTAGAGATTATTCCATAATAACCCGCCATAAGTACCCGCCGGATGTCGGTAGTCTCAAAAATGGTTCTGATATTGACGAAGCATTTGAGAAAATTACAAACATAATTAGCTCGTTGATTTTCACTTTGCCTTTAGGAGCAGCATTCTGATAGACTACCCATAAAATTTAGAGAACTGATTAAAGAAAAAATCAGTTAGGGTAAAAATGTCACTTAACGTGATTTAAAGTTCCATATTTAAAGAAAGAAATCAATAAGCTCAGTAGCAATATCGAAAATGAGGTCAAGAAATATGGGAATGTAAAACTGGAAGAAAAATTCTCAGCTTAGATAACACGAGCAGATCCTTTTGGTCTTTACCAAAAGATTCAAGTTCTTGTGCAATAGGCCAATTTACAAGAATAATCCTGCTGCGTTCACCGCCAAAGACAGGTCTGTTGTTTTAGCTGACCATCTTAAAAGTCAATACATGCCTAATGCCACACTTAGGACATTAATTTCTATACGATGTCTGCTACACAGTTCATTGTCTCAATGCGCCCATAGTACGAAATAATAATAATTTCACAGCTTCCAGTGAAATGAACCAAATTATAAATAATCTCAAGATTAGAAAAGCTCCGGGTTATGACGAGATCAGTAACCTTGCTATCAGGAACTTCCCGCAGAATTTAGTAAACACATGGGATTATTAAACGCCTGCCAATCATTCCTATTTTCGAAAACTATGGAAAATTGCAAAATTCATTCTCATTCCTAAACCAGGAAAGTATATTACTGCCTGTTTACTTCAGGATTAGCTAAAAGTTATGAGAGAATAATCCTCAAAAGAATTCAAACCTACATGAATCTGCTTCCGACCGCGAAATCATTTGACCGGGTTTGGCATGAAGAACTAATTTATAAAATCATCCAATTGAACTTCAGCAGAGAAATCATTGAACTTATTAATGTCTCCCATCGCAGACAGGAAATGTTTTGTGGACACTGGAAATACACATCCGACTTCTGTCCCATAAACGCTGGGGTTCCACTGGCCTCCATAATTGGTCCTATACTATATTTATTCTTTGTAGCGGATTTTCCCAAGCCACACTTCGATAATAACTAGCCCCCTGAGCGGCATGACCGGCTATATCCGGTAATGAGATTTTGTTTTGTTACTTGATACATATTAGCTTAAAATATTTTGATTTCTTACATTCTTTAATAATGTAAATATAATCTTAATAAGTTTATGAAAATAAAGGCTAAAATAAGTAATTATATAAGTTTAGCTAATAAATGCTGCATAAATGCAGTCATACAGATCTATCTATTGCTCTTTCAATAAAGGAATAGAGCATTAAGTGGTGAATTTTAATTAATGCCAATAAGTCGCAAATTTTATTCGCAAAAAAGAGTCAAAACTCCTCTCAAAAGAGAACTCATCTTATTTAAAGAAGAAGTCCCCCAACTAAGCGAGGCAAATTACCTGGGAATAATACTGAAAGAAAAATTTAATTTGTATGATCACATTAACAAGGTTCTAAGTAAAGTAACAGTTTAATAGATTATTGGAATATTCTCCAAACTTGAATAAAAGGCAACTCGTATATATTATGAACATTAGAACAATAATTGCATATGTATCGCCCGCGTGGGGGACAGTTTCTAAAAAGGCCATTTTCAAAATACAAGGGCAATAAAATCGTTACTTACGTATTATAATTAATGCATATTATTGTATGACTAACTAACGGCTCCACGAAGACCTTAAAATTGAGAGCATTGAAGAATTCCTAAACAAGACAAATAAAAATTTTTATATCAAAGCGAAGAACTGCGAGCATTTGAAAGTTCTCAACATATTTGAGTGCAAGATTATCAGCGAAGACAGTGAGCTTCCCCCGCTCTACGCCGCGCATCTTACATCGTGATTCGAGTTTTCCTACTTAATCTTTCTGATTGCATCTGTAAATACGTACTTAGCTTCTTTTTCACTCACTTGCAGCTTTTCGTAGGGGTGAATTTTGAGTTTTTTTTAATATTGCTTTAGAATTATATTGTACTGTTAAGTATGTATTTAGCATTGTATATCCGGTAATGAGGTAGTACTGTATTTTAATATTTATTTCACCTTACTATGGAAGGAACGTTTACTGCATTGCCTTATATGCAACTAGCGTGACGATACTTCACTTTTCCGCTCCAGTTAAATCTTCCTTTCCATTATCGTAGGATATGCCGTTTTAACGGTCTCCTGATTTATAGTCATTCTTTCTCCTCCTTTCCTCCGTTTCCCTTCGGGGTTTTCATGGCTCAGACTGAAACTACGTTGTATGTCTTTTGTATTTTACTTTATCGAGCCAGACATGTCGCATGATGGGCGATATTCGCGGCAATAATAGTTGAATTGAGATCATGAATATTATTATTTATTTTATTATCGTAATTATTATCGTAGACGGCAATTGAATGAAACATACTTTTGATTTTCACTGTAGACTTAGTAAATTCCTATTCTTCGATTAATAGGTAAGCGGAAGTTTCGTATCGATCTCATTTCTACATATAATTTCCAGAAAAGTTTCCAATTTTGTTACGCAGCTAGTGTTTCCTTGTCAGTTTGGCTATTGTCACTAACAAGCTGCAGTTTCTGTCTTATGCCTATACGTATAAATACAAACGGCTAATTAAATAGAAAAAGCTACCTCTGAGCTAAATTTAAATTTAAATCTAGGTAATAAAACATCAGAGAATGATAAAAGTTAATATTGTGATTTTTCATATAATTTGCTTCTTTTACGTTACGTACTTGTCGATGCAAACTCAAAACGTCAATTTTTTATTTTTCTAGGGAATGGTTGATTTATTTATTCACCTGGAGATTCTTTGTATAAGGGCTAGGATGCCTTCATAACAAAACTCATTATCTGTAATAAGATATTATTCAGTTCTGCTCTTCACACAAGGAAGGTTTTCAAAACCCTCTGCAATCAGCTCTTTCGCTGTCCATCACCAGAAGTGAATGCCAGAATGATTTGTTACTAGCGTTTCCTTACAATAATTAGGAGGAAAATGTGGCTCATAAAGTGAGGACTGATGTATTATTACGACAAGTAGACATATGTAAATAATTGAAATGAATTTCAATGTACTATTTTAGGTACTTAAAGAAATACTAATTTTGAAAAGTAAAACAGTAGCTTAAAAAACTGTATTTTAATAAAACAAGACTTACGCAACTAAAAATAACATTTCTCTCGTCAAAATTGACAAATTTCAAATACGCGTTACTTGACATGTTTGATAAAAGTTTGATAAATTATTTCATGAATTCAATATAAAGCTGCATGCATTTTTATGTTCTCAATATAATGCTTGTTATTAATAATTTTTTTCAAAGAATTACCATTATTATATAAATCATAGAATTATTTCAAACTGAAGATAACATATTTGTTGCAGATATGTAAGATTCAGATTGCAGTTGGGATTTATGAAACTCCACAGGTAGTAGCTTATATTTGTAAGATGTCTTGATTATTAATTACTTAACATAAAATTTTACAATTTATTTTATAATTTAAATATAAAAATAAAAGGAAATTTTTTCCCTGCTTCCATTAATTTTCACTTGCTGCTCATCAGCGGCTAACTAAATTTGATGTATTAATTCCTTGTACCTTAATGCAAGCGTTAAAAAGTAAATAAGCAAAAGAAAATAAAAATTGAGGAAAAGCGATTTTCAAGCGAAAGCATTTGAAGAAGAATTAATAAAATACATTTAGGTAAAGCATAGAAACGCAATGACATCTCACATTGCTTTAATTTAAGCCAAGTTTTAAAGCTTTTGAAATATAATACGTTCAACAGTAAATCCAGTATACAAAGAGCCAATTTAAATGCAAGTTTTGATTTGAAACTTACTGATGGATGTAGTTTTGTCATAATTTAAGGACATGCTTTACCGAACGAATACTAATTACAGTTCAAATGGTTTACAGGATTTCTCAATAAATATAAAGTACACTAGATACACAACTTTCTAATTTAATTTGACACTTCCTTTGGCTAAATAGGCTACTGAAATTTCAACATAATTTTACACGTCGTCGGGGTCTTTTCCTGAGACGAGACTGTGTCAGCTAGCTAGAGCAGATTATTTACACAAGAGGTACTATGCAAAGACATATAAATTTAGACATTTGTAGACAACGTTGCTGCCACTGGTAGTATAATGCTACCATTATTTAATTACTACCAACTTAATGTATTTATGGATAATATCAAAAGCCAATTTTAAATCTTGTTCCTATATTTTATGAATTACTATTAATTAAAATTCTAAAATATAAAAAAGAAAATAATAAAAATATTTTAAAATGTAAACTCAAAATTAGCGCCTTAAATAGATTATTATTAAAGTTTTTATTGTATAAGAAATTAAACTTATTAGTTTAAGATTTAGTTTATCAGAAATTAAAGGTATATAACATAAAATAAAATCGTACATTGAAAATTAAATATTCAAAATGGAGAAAAAAATTAGAAAAGCATTCACCGTGATATTATTTCAATGTAAATTATCAATACATGGAGATCTGGGCGCGTATTTAATAAGGCTAAACAATTCGAGACTTATCCATGAACAAATTTCACGAATATTTCTCTTTAAAAGGCAGTATTTTGTTTGTACTTTGCCAGAAGTTAAAATTCGCAAACTAAAAACAATAAAACACCTCGAAGCGATTTTCTCCGTTAATAAACTATTATACATTTAATATTTGCAAGTATAGTTATTATAGAGAAAACCAAATAATAATAGCATAACCAGAACATAATTACAATAGAAGATAAATAATTTGGGACCATGAAGGAAAGTATATGCTCTATATATAATGTGTTCACACTTTAGGCTTAACATGTTCCTCGGAAACGTTATAAGCGTAAAACGCAGATAGAATAAACCTTAATTAATTCACTAATTTTTGTTGCAAGTTACTTATTTCATGTAGATTTTTCTTTTTATATATATTTTGTATTATGTTAGTCCCATTCTGAAATTTGTCTAAATGATTCAATGACATAATATTTAAGTTGTTTCAAAATCAAGTGAACATCATTAGCGATTTTTGCACTCACTGTACATCCGCACCATTATCTCAAGTTCGTTTAATGAATTCTGTGCACATATTGCGTTTTAAGTTACCTATTTTCAGTATTATAAGGTCTCATTAAAAAAACATTCAATCAAAAATATTTACTATTTAAGATTTCTAAAATTACAGCCGAAGAGAATGTAACAGTAAAAAGAATATAAAAATTAAGCGTAAACGAAATTATTTGCAGAAGCGGAAATATCAGACAGACGACTATGAAAACGTTAACTCATATTAAATATCGTTTTAGAACAGAAGAGAAAATACGAGACAGACGACTTTGAAAATATTAACGCATATTAAATATTGTTTTAAACATTTATGTTAACCGAAAATCAGTATTTTCAAATATTGTGATTTCAAACCACTCTGACACAAATTAAATTACGTTGGAATATTTATAGTATTTTGCCATAAACACATTTTTTATCTTACTTCCTTCGTATAAACTTATTTTGTTTGTATGTAGGATGGGTTACTTAAAACTAGCTCAAATAATGTTGTTTCAAAATAAACTGAAAACTTCATGGATCGTATTTTATGAACCGCGTTTGGTAACAGTATAAAGTGATACGACATTTTAAACTGAATAAACATGTTTACATATTCAGATTCATGTTACAGCTAAAAAAATGGTTTGGGCATTCAAGGATAAAATGAACTTTACATAGCCCACAAAGACGTTTGTGTAAGTTGACATACCGAAGAAAACTTTGACTTCTTCTTAAAATTTGAAATAACATATTTTCCTATAAAAACGAAATCTCCTGAACATCCTTTCGATGTTGGAATATATCTACACAAGAAGGATTTTATACAGCAAAGAAAGCATACTTCTTAACCATCCTAGATAAGTCTTTGCGTCGTATGTTCTTTTAGAACGTAGGATTAAGTGCAAGTCTATTTTTCCTGTTTTTTCAACCAATGAACTCAGAAATCTATGTATCACAATGACAAATACTAATCATATAGTATCCAGAATGTGAAATTTCGATTATGTGGGTAATTATTAAAATTAAGGAAAATTACTCGAGAGCTACCTGTCTTTGAAAAGATATCTCTATAGAATAGATAAGCGTGAAAAAAATTATATTTACATGAATGCAATGAGAAAATCTTTAAACAAATGTAATGTGAATTCAGCCTATCTTTTAGATATTGCTTACAAAAATTATAAACGTATAGTAATGATGTTGAATTTTTCGAGATAAAATACTGCTCCGTAACGCAGGTTTTAAACTGCAATAAGTGGTGAAAAATAAAGATTTACTAGTTGGAATTTTATTTACATATTTTAATTTAAGCTTAATTTAAGCTTAAGAGCATAATCGCTTTATACACAAAGCCAAAAAAATAGCCCGTATGCTTTATGCGCATTTTGACGGAAAATAGTTTGATATATAATAACGACAAAGCTAAGGATATTAACAGATTGTATTTAAAATACGATAACGAGTGTATGAAAATGCATGGACTTTATTTTTAATTCTTTACCTAAGTAATCTTTCTTTATTTTTAATTCTTTATTTTTAATTCTTTACCTAAGTAAATTCTTTACCTAAGTAATTTAGTAAATCTAAAATAAAGATTTAATAGTTGGAATTTTATTTACATATTTTAATTTAAGCTTAAGAGCATAATCGCTTTATACACAAAGCCAAAAAAATAGCCCGTATGCTTTATGCGCATTTTGACGGAAAATAGTTTGATATATAATAACGACAAAGCTAAGGATATTAACAGATTGTATTTAAAATACGATAACGAGTGTATGAAAATGCATGGACTTTATTTTTAATTCTTTACCAAATATCTAATATAAACGATAAACAGAAAAAAAATGAGACTACTGCAATATTTATTCTTTCTGCTGCTCATCAGAGGCGGATATTTTTTAGATTTTGTTTAACAAATATCTTCCAGGGTAATGAGCTGATTTCAAGGGCTACTAGAAATCGGAAAATTGTTAAAATTGAACTTAATGACAACCCTTTTTTCGCAGAGAAATAGGTAAACAAGAGAGTGATGTGCAATCTCACAAGAAACAAATTCTTGATAAAAAATAAAAGAAAATCCCTTCTGGTGAAAATGTCGAAGAAATGCTTTATGAAACGGGAACATAAGTTACATTCACATTTAGAGAATTTAATAAAATATTAAGGTTATTTAAGACACAAGTTAAAGGAATATAATTTTTTTCATGAAACTGCCAAACACAGCTTTTAGAAATAGACCAACTGCTTTGTATAAGTCTGTTGTAAATGTTTAATAGATATTTCATGAAATCCTACCATACACCCATTGTCTGGGGAAATAATAGTTTTCAAAGAATGCAATCCGATAATATTTTTCTCGGTAATAGCGAAGTTCTCCTCTTCGGGAAGATATATTTTCCCTAGTGATGTATTATTTTGATATCGGGATTGGGTATCTACTTTCAGAAAATGTATTGTTCATTTATTATTTTTAGACAAAACGCTATTTGCTAGGAAGTTAATATCATTTTTTGAAACTAACAATGAATATCAATAGCGTTTGCTACTGATCATAATCCTATTAATTGATCAGAATGGATTTGAGATACGTTTAAGACTTCTCTTATAATATCGTCAAGTCTGAATGAATTTAAGTTTGACAATATTTTTGAATGAAGGGTAAAAATTTGGAAAAACACTTATAAAAGTGTCTAAATTTTATTTTATATCCTAAAGTAATTGCTAATGGTGTATCTTTAAGGGTATATGAAATGATTATATCCATTGCATGTTAGACGAATTCAAGTATTCCGCTATTCAAATAGTTCTTCCATAGAAGTCAGCACATGTAGTAAATGTTCTGTTGTCTTCTGAGCCGTTGTTTCAGAGACACGCGAAGAATTTCAAAATATAGATTTGATAAGCGCCACTCAAGGCATGTCTATTATTTCAGTTTCACGTAACGAAGTGTATGAAAAATAATAGCCATGCCTTGAATGGCATCGTATTTATAGTAACAGAAAACTCGATTAAGCTTAAATAGCAAAGAACAGCCTTTCGTCAACAAAGTCGACATTAGGAAGAAACGATGGATACACAAATAAAATTTGATGAAATTTGATGACTTCTGAAAGCTTTAAAAATTAATTGTGTTTCATTACGTTTAGTTCTTTTTTGTTAAGTGTTTATAAAAAGAAGGAGTAAAATCTGAATTTGTAACCACTGAATATTTTCAAACCAAAGTACAAAATATTCTATTCATTAAAAGTGGATATACTTATCACTCCAAGGGTATAAAAAAGCATGAAATGCTTTAAAATTTTAATTATATTGCCCTTCGAGGATAAAGAGCAACTATGATTTATTTAATGGCCAT